ATGATATTTTCGATCATCCAAACTCAGTTCTATGACGAGATCTTGTACTAGCCGTGTGCTGTCCTGGCTTCTAGTTCAAAGATCGGACGCACCCACTATTTCATGTTCTTCTAGCGTTGTTTTCCCTTTGTTTTCGACACTCATACATTGCAAAGGAAACATGCAGGTGACCAGAATAAAGAGAAACAACTAGTTATACTATATATGATGTTGCAAGAGTTATAAATAAGCTTTGTTGTTAAATGTTTACAATGCAATAGTGTAATACAAAGCAGAAAATGAAAAGCAAATCTCAAACTATAATAATCTGCTTTATTCTCATCATGACAACTTAAAACCTTTAGTGACAGGAACATTGTTCACTAAAAACACTTTAGGAGCACGAATTTGTATTTTACTGAGCTTGTACATTTTGTGTACATTTTGTGATATTTTTCTGTGCAAGATTATTTGACACATCGAACAATAATGCCAGGTTTAAGAAATTCCCACAAAGATTAACGGAGAAAACTAGGCTGGTAGTGTAAACGATGAATTGCAATATTTTATATAAAAAAGACGTAAACAATGTAATTTTATGTAATGAAAGTTGTCCGTATAATGTAAGTTCAGTCCTGTAATTAATGAATGTTAAAACATATATATTTTCAATAAATCAACAACGGGATTATTATACGCCAACGATGCAAACACAGCTAGGCACCGGAAGCACATTCTCCAGTTGTGCTCAGTCTACCCTCACAGTTACAGTACAAGGTAGTTTTTATATCTCATTCACAAACACTCCAAGTAAATAGGAGTGTAGCAGCTCTCGTAAGCTGCTATTGTTTTATTACTGTAGTGACCGTTATTGTTTTAGGGCTAGGGACATTGTTTCTGTTGTTTGTTCTGTTGTTCGTTCTGTTGTTCCCTTAAAGGGTAGAGCCATTCATGTGAAACCCTACAAGAGCTGCTATTGTTTTATTATTGCAGCAGCTGTTATTGTTTTAGGGTTAAGGAATTGTTTCTGTTGTTTGTTCTGTTGATCCCTTAAAGGGTATCGAGCCATTCATGTGAGACCTTACAAGAGCTGCTAACCGACCCCAAATAAACCACGCCCTAAGACAAAATTGACCACTGTTGTATTGGGAAAACTAGTCTAGTATTTACTGCTTCCCCTAATAAGTGTTTCTTGCCAACTTTGTTGGTTGCATTACAGTAACTAGGCGCTCCTTGCATGAGTACAGTTTCAAACCAGATGAATATATTTTATAAGAATATCGAGGCAGAAATTTGCAAAAATTTCAAGAATATATTAAGACTAAACTCGAGGCCGAGATTTTTAAAAAAACATAATTTTGTAAATTGAAAATTTGTAAATAAAATTATATGTTTTAAACTAAACCATATGAAATTTTTCCTTTCTCTAAACGGCAAAACTATAGCAAAGCAGCAACAAAAACAGCACTAGCCGTGCGTTTGATGCTAATAACATTTCAGCAAGAAGTTATGTGCGTCATATCAGGCTGGCTCCAAAATTACTTTAACACCATCCACACACCAAATACATTCGAAAACAGAAATGCCACACGCAATAGTCTAAGAATATTCACAAGAATATTTTCAGTCCAAAATCGGCAGAAAAATAAGAATATTAAGCCCGGGCCGGAAAAACAATATTCTTATATTAAAAAAAAAAAGAGTATAACCCGGAGGAAACTTGTTTTCTACTCTATTTTTCTTGGTACAAAATTCCTGGGAAGATCCGACTGATAGCAATAAGTTGTGACCAAACACTCTCTTAGCGTGACCGGTCACACCAACTGAGGGCTTCCAGTTAAGTAATATTATATTCAAATTTTTGAACCCACCGCTGTCTCGAGTTGCCACCCACTTTTTATCACGAATCTACACGGTCTAGCAATCTCAAACTTTCTTGGCTTAAACTATAAAGATTTCAGTAGATGTAATGTTATGGCAGAGATCAGAAAGATAACTTTTTATTCCAGCTAACGAGTACAAGCACACGTGTAT